TCTCTCTCATCTCTCTCATCTCTCTCATCTCTTTCTCATCTCTCTCATCTCTCTCTCCTCTCTCTCTCTCTCTCCTCTCTGTCTCTCGTCTTTCCGTCTCTCTTCTCTCTCTTCTCTCGCAGGAGGATCCGGGCAAAGAGCCACATATAAAGGACTCTTCACCCCTGCCTCCAAAAAGAGCGCCGTGTTTTTTCCTACCTCACTGCCCTCCACTTTCCCATTCTGGAGCGCTAGTCTCTCTCTCTCTCTCTCTATCTCTACTCGGACTATCTCGGACTTTGTGTTTTCCACAAATGGTGTCTTTTCTATAGTTGTCTCTGCACATATTGACTATCAATTTACCTGTCAACACTGGATCTAGACTTGTTGGGTGTTTTTGAAAGTGTCAACCTTCCTCATACTTTTCTTTGCTTTCCACACATGTCTACCTCTTGCAGCGCCCTTTGCCGGCCATCTGTGGGATGAGGGGGCTAGTATTCTAGGGAAGGTCTTGGTTGCTACTTTTGTCCCCCTTTCATGCTTTTGATTCCTCATTTCCTTTGGCACATCGTACTTTGCATTTCACACTCGGTTGCAGCGAGATCCATGTAAGCGCGCATCGTTTTCACACCGGAACCTTTGGTTCTGTACCTCGAAGTTGCAAAAGCCTTGGATGACACAAATTGCAAAGCTTTAGTAGCAGATAAATTGTTTGACATGTGAAACAGGATAAAAATCTCAATTCCAGCAACAACAAGCTACTAGAATCACCTTTCGCAACGCGCCTTGCTGACGCCTGAGGCTTTGCCCTCCTTGGCGATCTTGGCTGCGTGCGTTTCGCCCTTTGTTCTTTTCGCCGTGGTCGGGGGCGCCGGCAATGTACCTGCAGTTACTCGGGCGTCTCTGCGGGCGCCTTTGCAGCTTGGAGAAAAAACGGGAGGCATTTCGATAGAAGCTTTCACTAGTCTTTGTCTCTTTAAAAGCCCGAGTGGCCCTGCCTCCTCACTTAATTAAGTAGGCGCCTGCCTACTTAATTAAGTAAGGGAGTAAACAAGCTACTAGCAATAGGAAGCTCCTAGCTCAAGGAAGCTCCCCGCCGCCCCAAACTTCACATGCCAGGGCTTTTTTAGACTCGGGGACAAAGCGTGCATTCTGTTCGCGTGCTGGGTTTTACAGACTGTGGCAGTGAAATGGTGCAGGTTGGCATGGTAAGTAATATGCACCCCGTACTACCCCGTACAATCCAATGTCACAACATCGGGCCGGCCTTTCTTGTTCCTTGAGCCAATTGAGAATATAGACGTTGCTCAGCCACCAAGTTTTGATAAGCCCAGGCAGAGCCAGGCAGAACTGCAGCTGCGTTTCTATAGGTTATTGCAGGGATCCTTGCGGAATGTTGATATGAGGGGTGTGATCCAAACGCAACGGGAGAGCTAAGAGGTCAATCTTCCAATCATTTCCGGACTCCCTGCCGCTCCCTGCATAGGCATACACCCTACGGATCGCAGGTCTCACGTAGGTCATCGAAAGTAGAGTAACAAAGTGGACATTGGACTCTTGACTTTGGTGTGCCCTGCTGGACGTTGGAAGACAAAGGTTTGGGCCCCGAGCAAGAGCAGGTTGGATTTTTGAGTGGCACGTTTCACGCGAATCAATCTGGCTTGGCCCCCAAATCTCATCAAAGGTCCACAGCCGAAGCTGACTTAGCTGGTCTCAGGTCATTAGTCTCCTTGCTGATCATTTTCCTGAGCCTCGTCTTCTTCCTCTCCAACTACCGACCCTTGGGCAGCATGGATAGGATGCCTTTGAGCTTGCAGCTGTGTGAAATTTCAGACACTGGATGTCAATGATGTGAGTCATATGATTTCTGTAGGCCCAGACATGTCGCATGAACCCACGGGACGAATCTGCAGAACGAGAGGAAGAACAGGCACTTCCCAATCGTTTGTTCGCGAGTTCTGCTGAAAAGCATTGTGTCCCAACTTCATTCGGTGAGTCTTCCCCGGTCTCCACAGAAAGTTTCGAGCAGGTATGAGATGTTGCCTTTTGGTTGACAGCTCAACATACGCCCCAAACTTTATCGTCCCAAGAGTCAGAGCTCAGGTGTCAGCAACTTGTATTTGTTTGCGACGTATAGTGTGCTCTTGGCCCTCGCTAATTTGCTTGCTGACAAGGGCAGCCAACGAGGGCGAGTGAGGAGCCCAGGTACCCTAAAGCTTCCGTGTCGACTGGGCATTTGCGTCAACAAGTGGCATATGCAGACCCTAATAGTAACTCTTTAGTCTGTACCATTGGACATATACATGAGTGGGAACCAGTTTGCTGAGGCATGTTCGGTTGGTTGTCTAGAAAGAGGAAACAACAGACACACTATTCCACTCGAGGGTCGCTTTTTTTCTCAGAAACGTATTCAATGAACCATTTGGACCTGAAGCTTCACGGGTGTCTCGCTTGAGATCAAGAGCCATATGATCCAAGATTTCCGGAAAGACTGCTGTTGCCTGTTGTGAGCATGTGAGCAATTGTGACAAAAGTCTTCCTGCGGATTGGCTCACGCTTACTCACCAAGAATCCCATGCCCTTTCAGATGGTGAATCTGACTTTCCCTGACAGGTAGCAGTCGTAGCAGGATTCGTGTCATTTGTTTCTTTTTTGCCGGCTCCTACTTAATTAAGTAGGCGCTTGCTTAATTAAGTAAGGAGGTAAGCTGCTAGCTCACGCTTCTTCAAGGAAGCTCCCCCCAAGGAAGAAGCGCTCGCACTAGAGATTTGGTTCCAATATTTTTGCCACAAGGTTTGGATTGCGCTCGCGATTTGGCACGTCTTCAACTTGTTGAAGCTCGACCCATTTCAGGTGGTGTTGTCTTGTTCTCCACCGATGATGACATGGATCCAGTCCAAGAATCATTCAAATCATTTGGCATACTTGGCCCCATGATTAGTAACAAGAAGCTACTCGTAGCTCCTGGCCTTACTACTAGGAACAAGATGTACTAGGAACAAGAAGCTACTAGTTGGCCCCATGGTTTGATAAGTACCTTCGGTATGCTTTGGGTGTGTTGGTGGACTTCGAGTACTTATGCTGAGCCCACCCATGAACCTCGTCGGTCTAGACGACATGTCCATTTGCGACTTTTGAATCGATATTATCCATTGACTGGTACCGTAGCATTGTACCTGTCAGACCAGGACTTCCCTTCTGAGTTTCTTGTTTGCAATGGTAGAACATTTATAAGTCCTCGCGAAGGGTGCCAAATCCAGCTGAGGAACCTGTTGGGAGCCAGCTTGAGCATACTACAACCGTACAGGTGCCTGGAGAGGAAGAGATGAAGAAATGAATAGAGATTGATTTCGTCTTGCTTGTGGAACACTTCTAACCAATCCTTGGCGACACAACCCCAAGAACATTCTGTGAATGATAGAAACGAAAGCATGGTATTGTTTTATGTTTACAGCGTAAATGCTTTGAAGGGTATTAAGGCCGCCTTACCTTGGAAACGGATACCACTTCACTTCACCTGGCCGGCTCTTCATCGCACCCCGATATCCCGGGCTCAGGGAATCTGAATCTGAATGAAGTCTGTTTGAGGAGAGCAGGCTTCAACCTCACACTTCTTCAGCCAATGAAGCTACTAGTAACAAGAAGCTACTAGTAGCTCCTGGCATCGCCACTAGGAGCAAGGATGCTACTAGGGGCTCCTGGCCTTACTACTAGGAACAAAGGTCTACTAGTAGTAGTGTCATCCGGACCGCCAGGGCGGCTCCTCAAGGATTGCTTCCGACCATCTTCCAGGCCTGAAGCCGTTACAGTTACATCCGATGAGGACGACTGACTCTCAGTGGGTTACTGTGGGCTGTTGATGAATCTCTTCCACTTTCATCATTCTGTTTGAGTGTATGCATCTTGAATGGAGAAGCTCTCATGTTGCACACCAATCAATCCTCAGTTCCACCAAATGAAGGTTTCCCCTTGTCGCTATCTGGACTGTACAATTCTATGTTTCTATGGTGAAGTCAGCTGATTGCGCGGAAAATGTTCTACTTCAAGTGTCTTAGACTATTTCTCTCTGAACTTGTAAAATATTGTTCCTAGTAGCTTCTTGTTCCTAGTAGTAATGCCAGGAGCTACT